GCTCGCTGATCACGGTCAACCTCCTCGGCAACAGCATTCCCCTCGTGGTGGCTCAGCAGCTCGTGGCTGTCTTCAAGCAGCACCAGACTCTGCAAACGCTCTGCGGGTTTCGGTCCGGGGAGGTTGACTTGCCCGACCAGAGCCTTAGCCAGGAGGACAGCATGCTCCTTGCCGCCGATCTCAGCTCCAGCACCAGCATCAAGACAGTGTACGCGGGCGACATTGCACTCAAGCTGCCGCTTGGCGTCCACTCCGATGAGCGCGTCGCGCAACTGGTTGAGTTGACGCTGCGGTTGAAGGGAGAGACTGTCGATGAGCAGGACCGCCTGATGGCAAGTGCGCACGAGATACTTCCGGGAGCAGAGCTCTTCCGGAAGAGGAAGGAGGCCGATGCAGGTACAGAGCAGCAGGCAGAGCCAGCCGTGAACCACTCGACGCAGCGAGCGGGTGCAAATAAGCACGACAGCCCTGTCGAGGTGGTCGATATCGGGCGCGGTGGCTGCTTTGGTGGCTGCTTCGGAGGTGCCTGTAGCTCCAAACATCAGCCGTCGGTGGGCCCAAGGTCGCCGTCGCCGCGCAAATCGGTCACCTTCGATGGCAAAAGCCGCGACGGCTCTCTCGCAAGCGTGAGCGTCCCTGACGCGTCGCCAGACCTCCACGGCAAGGTCTCCCTCTCCAAGCACCGCTCCTTCGAGCGTCCCTCTCCACGACGCGTCGCTCCCGTCAAGTTCGCCGCGCGCGTCTCGATGCCGAGGGCCTTTGTGGTCGACGCCGGCTCGCGGCACACCGAGGTTTTCGCGTACGACCAGGGACCAGACGGCATGCCGGTGATCCTCCACAGCGCCAAGCTGCGGCGCGACGACAAGAGCTTCATGACACTGGGCGACGCCATCAACGACGGCGGCGATGAGACCTTTGAACTCTTCTTCAAGCTGCTCTCTGATACGCTCGCCGACTTCGACGCCGACCTGGAGCGGGGCATCTTCATCGGCGCCACCGGCGGCGTGCGCAAGATTCGGGACAGCGACGAGGGCGCGCGCAAGGTTGACCAGTTCGCGCGCTTCTGCCGATGCGAGCACCCGAATGTCACCTTCCGCGTCGTCGAGGGCCTCGACGAGGTGCGGTGGGAGTGGACGGCGGCGAAGGCGCTCTTCCATGCGGCCTTTGAGGACGCGGGGCATGACGGCGGCGTGCAGCTGCTCGCCGGCGGCGGCTCGTCGGTGCAGGTGGGCATCCGCGGCATGTCAACCGCCGAGGGCGGGGTGTCTCCCGTCTCTATGCCGCTCAGCGTGGGCGAGGTGCAGGACGCTTTCAAGGCGGACGCGGCAGCAGCAGCCGGAGAGTGGCCGTCGCTCGAGCGGTCGCGGCAGAGCCTCGAGCGCGTGGTCGACGCCAGCTGGCCGCACTTGCGTGCCCACGTGCCGATACGCGGCGGGGTGCTGGCCATATCCGGCTTTGCGGACATCGCTCAGCTCGGCTTCTCGGAGCGGTGGATCTCGGTGGAGGAGCTCACGCCGCTGGTGGACAAGACGCTCGACGAGCTGCTGAAGCAGAAGGGCGCCGGCTGGGACAGGGCCGTCGAGAAGTGGGGCAAGCACCGGTTCTGGGCAGAGTTCCCAGAACGCCTCTGGTCGATCGGCGCGGCCGGCCTGCTCCGCCTCTCCGTCCTGCTCACCCGCCCCGGCCTCTTCCGCCCTTCGGCGCGGCTCTATTTCGCCAACACGCCGCCGCCGCCGCCCGAGGGCACGGCGCCACGGCCCAAGCTGACTTGGCCTCTGGGGAAGTACCTCTCCGACGTGCAGCTCTGCGAAGCGCGCGAGCAGGTGCTTGCGGCGGGGAGTTCGCTCCTCGCAGCGCGCACGCGAGTGGCGGAGCTCACTCCGCCGGGCAACCCGACCAGCCGCACTGGCTACTTGCGCTCGCTGCGAGACTGCGTTGGGCCGCCTCCGGACGATTGCATGGAGAAGTGGCGGGAGGAGTGGGTGAAGCTGCGGACCGAGGAGTACTTGCGTTCTGACGACCTGGCGGACAAGGACAAGGGCACCGAGGAGTATGTGAGGGAAAACAAGTCCCTCGACAGCGTGCTCAAAAAGTTTGCTCGCGGGATCAAGGAGAGCGTCGATAGCGGCATGGATCCGAAGCACGCGGAGATCTATTACGCCCTGCAGTCGGTGAGGGGCTCGCTGGCAGCCGCGATGCGGGAGGGCCGGAAGGACTACGTCTGCTCCACGTACGCCCTCTCCGAGGCTCTCAGCTCTGAGTACGACCTGCAGAAGAAATTTGCGCTTCCGCCGTCGCTGTACAAGAACCTCGAGGGCAAGTTTGGGCTGGCGTCGGACTACTCGCAGTGGAGCAGCATCCGCACGCCCGACGAGGCGGGCGTCCGAGGGCTCGTCTCCGAGGTGATGGTCATGGTGCGCGCGCCCCGCACCCCACACCCGGGCTGCTGAGCATCTCCGCGCAGCCCGCATCTCAGCGCTCTCCATCCCCCACCTCAGGCAAACGACCGCCTCGACTGCTTTAGCGAGGAGGGCTTCATGGTCTTTGACGACGGGGGCTTGAAGCCTGTCAGCGGTCCCATTGTCTGCTTCGAGGCGGCGGCGAGCGACGACCACGGCGACCACGCACCAATCGTCATCAAGAAGACGATCGCGCCCACCGCATCGAAGGGCGGCGGGGCGTTGAAGCCGACTTCCCGGAAGCAGACTTCGGGGGCCTTCCCGCCCAACACGCTGTTCCGACTCAAGGAGACCAAGCGCGCCGGCAGCTGGCTCGCGCCAGACGGCGTGACGAGGCCGAAGGTCGACCTTCTCGTCGTCACGGCGACCTTTAGGGCGCCGAAGCGGCTTGGCGGCTCGAGCGGCTCCGGAGGCGGCAAGATGGCGGAGCTGCCCGTCTCTTTGCAGTACGCGTCGTCGCGCAAGGCGTTTGTCAAGGGCCTCGACGACATCATCGAGCGGCCGCTGCTCACGCTCGAGCAGGAGTTTATGCGAGACTACTCCTGGACGGACTTCAAGGACGTCATGTACACGCTGCGCGAGGAGTGGGAGTACGTCAACGGGGAAGCCGTCCCCGCCGCTGACAAGACGCGCGGCACGCGCGACGAGAAAAACGGCGGCATGTCCGTGGTGCAGTTTTGCGATCGCATGAACGCGCGCATTGCAGAGCGGCGCGAGAAGCTGAAGCAGATAAGCCCGGACACGCCGATGCCGAGCGAGGCCAACGCCTTCCTGACGCGCGAGGAGGTGCTCGCGGTGCGGCTGTACACTGGCCCAGCCTACCAGCCCATAAACCGCTTCCTGCGCGA